CCAGCGGGACCTCATGAGGCATGAATTCGTCGGGTTCGGGCAGCTGGGAAAGGTTGGCGATGAGACACGATCCTTTGCGAAAGGCGGAACGTGGACAAGACTAAAAATGTATCGCAGTCTTCTTATTGTGCTTCTTAAAAATGCATAGAATACGATGCAAAGCAATTTTGCCAGTAGTGAAATGTTACTACAGCTGGAGCCCTGCCTACCACACGGCACACATACTACTACACCTGCAGTTCCACCTACCGCAAAGCACATATATCACTACACCTGCGGCCCTGCCTACCACACGGCACATATATCACTACACCTGCAGCTCGGCCTACCACACAGCACATACAGGGCGCCGCCATGCCGGCGTTCATGGGAGCAGTGACCCTGAACTAGGGCTATGATTTGCATGGCTGAGTTTCGGATAAGCGCTAAATACTGGAGCATTGGCGCCCGCCAGTCCTACGTCAATACCGGCGCCGTCTGCCGCTGCCGCTACGCCAGTGACGGTCAGCGACGTTCGGGTCAGTTGTACCAGAGACTCGCCGTGTCACGGTCACGCGCGGCACCAGCACAGTACACCGCGGCATGGACCCGTGCTCTGCTCGCCGTGTCACGGTCATCCGCGGCACAAGCACGATACACCGCGGCATGGACCCGTCCTCTGCTCGCCGTGTCACAGTTACGCGCGGCACCAGCACGGTACACCGCGACATGGCCCGTCCTCTGCTCGCCGGGCCACTAAGCGGACCTCCCGACCAGCTAGGCCCGAGACGGAGGGGTCACGCAGGTCACGGATCATCGGCTGCACCGCGGCCTTGCCGTCTCGATAAGGGGCCCTCCCGGCCACCTGTCTTACGCCCGCGGCGGCAGCCACATCGCGGCTGTAAACGCTTGCGCGGCGGCGGCGCGGACACCAGGCGGCTCATTAGCTGGTGGCACGCATCATCAGAACAGGATTAGTGGTGGTGTCGCCCTCGCCACAAGCGTTCGCCCGCTTACCAACAGCGTGCGTCACGTCACGCCCACGTCACGTCCATACGGTTGCCGACCGCCGGAAAGGGAAGGGGGGGGGGAGGGGTGCGTCCGCTCGCCCGTCAGCATGATGCAGGTGCTCAGCACGGCCCCGCGGAGTTGTCATCGCGGCCGCCGACCATCTCCGGCCGCTGGACGGGTCATCTTACCGCCAGACGCGCCGACTCGACGTGCGTTCTCGCCACCGGTTCAGTGTTCCGGCGGTGTGCGGAATCGACGCGGTGCGTGATAAGATAAACATGACAAGCATAACAATCAGAGCTTTCCGACAGGTAGGTGTGCTCCTTCGTAAAGGTACGGAGTTTACAGAAATGTCACGATGAGAGCAACATTGTCTAACAAGGTTTGTTTGGGAGCATACGTGTTAGATTCTGATACACTCGATTAAATTTAGCTACAGCTGGTGCACACATCTCGAGAGCCGAGGCCGATTTCGCCGGATCGTCTTTTGAGCTTCCCAAAACACGCTGGGCTGACCATAACCTCAGGTCCCTGGCATGTCAGTAGAAGTGTCGCACCACGGCCGGCCGATCCGGGCCAACGGTACCCTTTGTCCGCCACCTGCCCTCAGAGGCCACCGTAGCGGTCAGCAGGAGACCTGCCCCTCCCCTCCCCTGTCGCCGGGGCGCGCGCCTCCCGCGCCCCCGGCGCCGCACCGTGGCGCCACAATTTGCCGGGCGCCCGCGCCGGCGATGACCGATCAGCGGATGCGGCCCGTTTTTGTTCCGGGCCGACGGCGGCGGCGGCCGACCGGAAGGCCGACCTCTAATGACGCCGCCCCACTGGCCAGCTGGCGGTCGGCGCGAGCCGGGCCGGCGGCGGCGGCGGCGGCGGTGCCGCGCGAGGACAGCCCGTCCGTCCGACAGACCGAGCCGTTACAGTCTAACGTGACAGTTTACATCAGCGGCAACCATCACAGCTATTGGACCCTGACTATCGCCATCTGTCACACACCAGTCAATGCCATCAGGTTGTCTGTTTCTGGCCGCCGGAGTCGTTCGTCCAGACCTCGGGGTGGTAATCGTCGCACTAAATTACGAAGTGACTACCAGAAACGATCTAAACAAGTCAGCGAACATTCGCCGTCGCCACCCATCTGACAGCCAGTTCGGAGCATTTCCCGGCCCCGGGCGGTAGCGGATCCCGCAACAGCTCGCCTGACCTGACCAGGACCAAGGGAGGTCACCCGCGCGTGTGCAGCCGCCCCGCGCCGCGGCGTGCCGGGATCGTCTCCGGCCCCGTCCAGCGCACCCCCATCGGAGCCGGGCCGGCCTCCATGGGAGTGCTGTATCAAACCTACGGGCTGGCGACCGCCGCCACCGGGCGGACATCATCATTGTTCAGCCGCACCAGCGCGGTAATGAGCCGGAGATTACAGTCCTTCGCGACCGAACAATGGCTGGCCCGTACATATCGGCGGCCACTGATTCAATCGTCAGGTGGGCGGCCGGCGGCGGCCGGGCCGGCTGCTGCGCCGCGTCCGGTGCCGGGGCGCGACCGGTGACGGCCCGACCGCGTCAGGTGGCAACGGGCCCGGCGCCCGGCACGCTCACGGGCCCTCGCTCACCGGCCGGTGTCGCCGCGGTGCGGGTGCGTGCTGCTCCCTCGCCCAGCCGGCCAGAGCCCACGGCGGGGAACTCGAACTGTTGTGGCCAGGGCGTGTATGTGCGCTAAACGTGAGGTTGTGTATGTGTGAGGTTGCGGGGGTCTATTCGGGCAGATTTCACAGATCTATGTATTTCTATTCAATTAAAGGGACGCGGCTTTAAGTGCGTCCTAACATCAATATGGTATTAAATGTTATCAAGCGTTTTTACTGCAATACCGTCCTGGACAGAGAACACGCGATAAAAACCGTTATCTTCTCATACCCTTGAAGCCAAGCTCGCAGGCATATTCAATCTCGGACTAAACTTTCAGTAGCAAAAAGAGGATATGGTGTTGATGAAGCCATTTCCAGCCAAACAAGGTTAAAACACGCCGGTGCAGATTTCGCCCCCAAACTTCGTGCAGATTATCCACCCGGCGGACAGCAGGGGTGTCGGGTGTTGAATAACACCTAGGGGCTTCCTTCGCCAGCACGTTTTGAAACGTTACTCTCTGCTGGTCAAGCAGACATCCGTAAGTCCACAAAAAGTCCCCCGGCGTTGAGGAAGCCTAACGGGCAACGGTCGCGTTGCTCATGGCCCCAGTCATTCGCGACCACCCTTTTACCACAGGAGGTCCGCTATTTCTAAAGCCTTCGCCGCCCGTCAATTCCATTGCAGTGCCGCAGAAGATGACACACGGTGTAATTCCTGACAGCCAGCCAATATTAACTTGAGTACAAACAGATTCGGCCCAACTGAAGTCCAAACCAACTACATGGTCTTGGATCTCGAAATACTCGGAAAATGCCCGGCCGGACTGGCTGATGGTCATGCCGTCCCGTCTGTTGGGTCAGTCGGTAAGACATCGAGACCTGCTGGATCGCTGGGCGGACACAGAGCCTGCCCTGCCAGCCGCTGCGGACCGGCGCGCGCAGCGCTCCGTCCACTGCTGGGGCCGAGCCGTGGCCGTCATCTGACCGAAGCCTGAACTCTGGCGGCCCCGGCGCCCGTCCATTACGGCCCAATGGCCTGACAGATTGGACGTCGGCTGAAATGGACGCCAGGCGCGACCAGACCACGCTCCGGCGAATCTTGGCCGCCGCCGGAGGCACCGACGGGACAAACGTCCGCATCACCAGAGGCTGAGGCCCGCACGACGAGGCTGAGGCCCGCATCATCAGGGGTTCATATGACGAGGCTGAGGCCCGCATCACCAGAGGCTCGCGCGACGAGGCTGAGGCCCGCATCATCAGGGGTTCATATGACGAGGCTGAGGCCCGCATCACCAGAGGTTCACACGACGAGGCTGAGGCCCGCATCACCAGAGGTTCACACGACGAGGCTGAGGCCCGCATCACCAGAGGTTCACACGACGAGGCTGAGGCCCGCATCACCAGAGGTTCACACGACGAGGCTGAGGCCCGCATCACCAGAGGTTCACACGACGAGGCTGAGGCCCGCATCGCCAGAGGTTCACACGACGAGGCTGAGGCCCGCATCGCCAGAGGTTCATATGACGATGCTAGGGCTCGGATCATCAGAGGTTTGCATGACAAGGCTTGACAAGGCTGAGGGTCGGATCACCAGAGGTTCACACGACGAGGCCGAAGTCCGCATCACTAGGGGTTCGCATGACGAGACTAAGGTTCACACCACCAAAAATTCACACGATGCTGAGTCACACCATCAGAATTTCTCGCAGCGTGGCTGAGTTCCGCACCAGAAATTTACGCAGAGAGACTAAAGCTCGCATCGCAAGAGATTCCCACTGGGTGGTTGAGTTACGCATCATCAGAGTTTTACGAAGCGTAGCCGCGTTCCACATCATCGGAACTTCACACGGCGACACTAAAGCTGACACCGCAAGAGAATCCTTCGTCGAGGGTGCACATCGCCAGAGGTTCACGCCGGTTATGCAATCCTACCATGAGAGGTTTGCGTGGCGGATCTATTGTTATTTTCTAATTTGTGGTGAGACATTGAGACCGTCGGCTGAGGGGACTATATAAGCACTCAGGTTTAAGGGTGTAGGGCCCTGACTTTTCTGTCACATTCTGCTGGGGGTGTCTCGTGGCGAGTGAGTTCGTTTTGTTCCAGGCGTTGCCACATCGCATCGTTCTAATTTTACATCTGTCCCAAGTCGGGTGCAGGGCTTGTGGCCGTGAGTTTCATTTATAGAAACTTGGGGAAATATCAACGTCCAGCTGCTGACCTGGTCGGTTAAGCGGGGTTGTCGCGGTTCTGCTATACGGAAACCTTTGGGGGAAAAATCTATGGTGGCGTGGTTCACATGTAAATCTGAATTTTATCTTGGACACGTACAATTGGCCACAAACAAGCGAGTTACGTTTAGATGCATGCTTACAGATGTTTTTTTTCTTCAAAACATGAATTTGAATATTCACAGAAATCTGAAAGGGAGTATTCCACACTTAAATGGGGTTTTGAAATGAAATAGTCATCTTGAAGACCTTTCGGTGCTGTTAACAACACTGCCCTTCTTAATACCTAAGCCTGTCTAGTTTCTGAGCTACACGCCCGCAAAAATGGGGAGATTATTTCGGGGAGAGTATTTCAAGTCACCTTGACATTGTTGATCTCATAATAACGTCATTGAAATCGTGCCATTCCATAAGCCATGCGTCGATCAAGGCCAAACAAAATATAATGATCGAGGCATCCATAGCTGGCGTCCGTGAGCACGGTTTTCAAATACAACGGCCGTCAATAGGCTTTCAACCAATGTTGTGCAAAGTGATGACGTGATCAAACCATGACGAAGTGAAGAGCACATTTACTAAACAGAGAATTGTGCTATCTAGGGCAGTCTTCTCCACTTAAAAATGGTACCAATAGTTATAAATGAGCTTGTTTCATCATATATGATGCTTGCTTTAATGTCCTCAAGTGTGAAACATTCTCTTTAAAGACAAATTCACACGCTAATAAAGCAATCCAGTGCGGCCAGACTTCCTAGTGGCCAGCGGTTCGCGAAGCGCATCTCGAAGCTGTTGCGAAATGCAAGGGAAATGCATGCGGCTAGGTCTGAAGACGCCGATTCAATACCATCAAACAGTGTAGATCTTTTGGCGCCTCCAGAGTGACCGCGCGTGAGCAGCGACAACTCACATAACCCTACGCTGGGGTGCAAACGATCCATATAAGGGCGGGAGAGGGCTACAATTTCCTGGCCTGTTCTGCACAAGCGGCGGACATGGCCCAACTATATCCGCAGCAATTCGTGTCTTCACTGAAGCTGCTGAATTACTTGATTCAGGGCTTGCCTGCCCAGAGACGTCAAGAGCCTAGCCTGGACCGCACCTAGATTGGTGACGGACTGAACGGGGCACAACTTGGAAATGTGCAGGCAAACTGAAACCTAATGGAATGGAAACCAGCAGGATGCTGAAGTCGGTGATCTCCTAGTACGACTGGAGTATGTATCACACGAGAGGATGGAAGGCTCTTACTTCCTGCCGTAGGAATGTGTTTGCCAGCTATTCTGCTACGAGATAAACGTCGGCCATTATCCAGATTCTTTAGAACATTGATCTGCAACTGCAACGACCAACGGCGGGACACTAAACCCTGAAAAAGGTGGCGCGGTGGAATCGTGACGTCTGGTGCATGGAGCGTCATTTCGCAAGACACGTCAAGGGGGATTAAGCATGGCAACATAACTGAACCTACTCGCAAAATACGCACCAAAGAACTTCTCCTATCTATCTCCTATCTCTTATCTATATCCTATATATCTCCTATCTCGAGCACTTTCTTATGTAATTAAGAGGTGCCAAATCCCAGCTGAATAGAAGGCTGCACTCCTGGTCTGGTGGCCTGGTGTTCTGCCAAGCGCGAGTTGTACCTAATACCTACTGATCGATCGAATGCACCGACCAAGATAAATTAATTCAGGGGCTAATTTCCTCCAGCCCCGGCGGATCACACATCAGCGCATACTTCACGCTCGCAGTTTTTATCTGATTGGGTCATTAGTATTCAGCATACAGAGCGGGGTCAGGAAATTTCGCAGGGCGAGCGCTGAAGCCCCGGCTGGTCAATGACGCCCTGCGCGCCATTGAAGCGCGCCCTGCAACACAGCGCGAAGCAGGAAACAGGTCCCGTTCTAAATGGGCCTGCAAAACGTCAGCCCGGGTGTGTCATCTGGCGGTATGTGGCCCAGTTGTGGAGCCCACGGTCCCACGGTCACCACGAACTACGTATCAAACCCGGGCTTTCAGGCTCGGCATTCTATTTTGATGGCCATTTTGCGATTTAGAAGCCTTTCGGGTGTTTCAATCTGCCAAAAGTGCTGATGGCTCCAGAACCAGGGCCTCCCGCCACCTCCAGGGGTGGGGACATGACCCAAAATCTACCACCTTGGCTACGCTACTGATGAAAGACGAAATGGGGTGGTTCGGTGCCGTGTCTGCGTGGAAGCCAAGGCAACCAGTCCTGGCCTGTGGCGGGGCGCCCAATCCGCCGCAGCGCCAGCGTGAGGCCCGGGGTCGCGTGGTCTACATGCCAGCATGCAAGGCTGGGTCTCATATGGTCGTGCACATTAACGTCAAGGTGCCGCGATGCCAGCTAGGGGCCGGAGGCATCTAGATCCGCTGCCGCCAGCTGCCCATTAGGAGGGCAGCGGGACACGCTACGGTCAATATAATCATCTTCCAAGACGACGGCAGGAGCGACAAGCTGACCCAGTTAACGAGATCAGTCGACGTTTAGAAGACGACTTCTACGACACTTTTGATCGCTTATTCGCGCGCCGCTCTGTCAGGTAAACATCCTTAAGTGATCAGGAGCAACACTACCGGATGCGCGAGCATATCTTCTCGCCTACCCTTAAATTTTAGGGAGACCCCGAAAGCCATGGTAGGTCTAATAATGTGCATGATCGGCGGCAACCATGGGATCAGGAGGTCTGGCCAATGGCCATGAGCAACAACGTAACGCTGTAATGATCAAGAGGAAGCGTCAGCCACGAATGGGTCCAGTCTCGTCGGGAGTGGACGTACTGTAAGAGGTCCCTGCCATGAACGAGCGGGCCCCAATAACACAAGGATCGTATTTGGCTGACAGCCAATATACGGCCGATGCCGTGACCACGGGGAGGCTACAACCTAGCAGAGTAAACGGCTCAGTCATGCACATAAACATAATGGTGTCAATCCCCTGCACAACCAATGTACCCTTGTTTTGACGAAAAGCTGACGTACCATTACTATCCAGAAGGGGACCGGACGGGTCACGAGCAACAGGAGGGACCCGGTACGGCAAGGATCTGGTGCGATGGAGAGCCAAGTACGGTACGGGGCCTGTGTCACGACCGAGGGGAGCCCTAAACATGTCCTGGTCTAGAGGTCCGTGACACAAGAGGAGACCCATCCCCGCCATGTCGAGTGTGGTCCTAGAGCGGTAGGGCAGGAGGCACTCTTCGGACTGCCAAAACACCCCCTTTATAACTAGGAGCAGGCTTCCGTCGCAACTGAAAGAACAACTAATGACAATGGCATTCACGAGGAGGCCATGTCCTGATCGGCAGGAGATGTAGGTCATATCGGGGTCACGGAGGAGACTGACCAGCTTACCTCAAAAAGTTCGCAGCGCCGCCTCCACCCTCTCTTGCGCGAATGCCTCTTTATGAAGATGCCGCAACTCGCACAACGTGCTTCACAAAAATACGATTGCCATGGCGTTTTATATTTGTTAGACTAATATATACACAAGGGCCTCCTTTCACTGGCCGAGACCCCGCTAGCACTAACTATCAATTTTGAGATGAGATCATTTATGATCAGCTGACCCATCGTCACAAGCGGCAAAAGATATCCGAGCGGCAAAAAATATCCAAAATTACTAAACGACTTTGAGCGTCGCTACTCGCGGGCTGTGCTCGGAGAGCGTTCGCACGTGGCTTCAATGATATGCACATGGTTCAGCGCGGTGACTGACTTGCCAGGCTGGATCCTCTCAGCAACTGAAATCGCCTCAAGTGCATCATTGCTACATTCAACAACAGATGGTACGGCAACGGTAATGATAGGCAAATGATACAGCGGTTCTGACTAACGGCGGAAGGGCGATCGTTGAGGCTGTTAGCAGCGTGCACTCGTCTTTCCCACGCTGCTTTATCGGGTAATTGGGCAGCGGTGACTCATCTAAGGAAATCGCACTTTGGGTCTGACTATGTAAATCGCTATGTAAATCAATTGCTGCTATGCGGCTTTGCTTGCTCCCCCTCCCCCCTCCCCCCAATCAGGGACCAGATTTGAGCAATGCTTGCCTCGGTTGGGTGGTTGGGGTGGTTGGGGTGGGTGGGGGTGGGTTGGGGGCGGGGGAAGAAACGCTGACGGTAAAATGGGGAGGGGCAGAGCGCAGTTAACATGTTAGACGAGTCCCCGTTGTATGACCTTTGTTCGTTGGTTGACGAGCCTTCACATTGGAAACGGTCGTGACAAACGTCCGAAAAGACATTGGAAACGGTCGTGACATACGTCCGAAAGGACGTTCATCTCGAAATTAAGTATTGCATCTCACCACCGATCAACATGGACATAATGGCACACTTCCATCAGAAGAAGGTACTTGACTTCCGGTAACCCTGGTCCCACCATCACGTGAAGGAATGCGAGACGTTCGTATATATGCGCGACGGGCAGTGGCAGTGAGCTGCAACAGGGCGGTACTCTCAAACGAACGGGAGGCGTGTGAAAAGCAGGTCATGTTGACATAGGCTCAGCATCACCAAGTAATGGGTATGGGGAGCCGTCGCCACCTGTCACCCTCACAGATGAGCAACAAGCTTTTATGATGAAACGAATTAAGCTGAAAACACTCCGGACGGCGGTTACCCGGACGCGATTTACCAGCGATTTAAGGTTAAGAGCGACGTTAAGAGCGAAGGTAAGACGAAGGTTAAGACGACGAACGACGAACGACGAAGGTTAAGAGACCACGAACGACCGACGCATGGCCGGCGTTCGCCAGGCCAGATGAAATGGGCTGGTGAGCTGAACTAACCAGGCCGCAGGAGCGCGAGGAGAGTGATGGCCGCTAGCCACATGCCGTTGCCGTCCACCGCCGGCCGGGCGCCGTCCGTCTGTCCACCCCTACCACGACCCTCTAGACCGGGTCACGCCCCCCTCGAGACCCAGTCCCGTCCTCCTCGAGACTGAGTCACGTCTCTCGAGACAGCGTCACGTTCCTCGAGACAGGGCCACGTCTGCCGGAGACCCTGCCTCGTGCGTTCCTCCGTGTTCACTCTCGCGAGCTCACGGCACGGCAGCCGCCAGCCGTCCGCCACAGACCGCCCGGATCGCTCTCAGTCACAGCCGACACCGCCCCACTCTCCCTCTCCGCACACCACACCGCCGCCTCTCCGCAGCCAGACTGCCCGCCGCCGAGCCGGACCCGGCGGCGCCCGCCCGCTCCGGGCCGGCCGGCCAATCAGCGGCCGAGACGGGAGCGAGCGCGAAGCCCAGCATCGGTCCGTACCCCGCAGCCCCGCAGGAGACACGCAGGCTTTCGGGCTTTCGCGACCTTTGACGCAGCATGAACTGCTGGCTGCATGAGGCTTCGACGGTTTGCGGCCGTTTTGCCAAGTGTGACGTTCGTGAGGACTCAGCTAACTGTAAAAGTCAACTAAGTTTGTGTGGTGTTCCTCGAGACTGGGACTCCAGCTAGAAAAGGTTCAGGCCATCCACGGCTGAAACCATTACATCTATGGTTTAAAGCAAATATTTTGGAAGGCAGATAAGCTTTGACCCCACAAAAAAACCCTGGAGCTGGAAAAAAACGTTCACATTCCCTGACCCCAGGGGACATTCTTAGCCAACTCTGTAGTTCTCTGTAGTTCTGCCACGCCCATGACGGACCAACTCTCTGTAGTTCTGCCACGCCCATGACGGACCAACTCTCTGTAGTTCTGCCACGCCCATGACGGACCAACTCTCTGTAGTTCTGCCACGCCCATGACGGACCACTTTTGACAGGTTGGAAGCATTACTATCCCCAACCTTTAATTAAAACCATGAGAGGCTTCGTCGAGATACCTGTGACGGATCCAGCATGGTGCAATTTTGGGACCTGCACTGATTCTGATACGGAAATAAACAGCAAGTGCTTCAACCCCCTACACCTCTGCTACAACGCTGACAATGGTACTCCACTAAGCTTATGGCACTATGTCAAGTTAATAACGGTGTGTGGTACAAAATACAGCTTTTCACGGTTATAAGGCGTAAGTTTGTCTCCACCCGTGTAGTCATATGTGGAAATATGGGCGCTTTAGACGCCTAATTCGGGTACGGCAAGGCCGACAAGCGGCGCTGAGTAAGTAATACTGGTAAGTGGCAACAAACCAGTGCCTCCCTTGAAAATACTAGCACATTACCAGCAATGTCAAACAAGTCCCGAACATCGTCAAACGCCTCTTCTGAGAGCAGGCCAGACAATGCTGACCCGCCCAGAACAGGCGCTTGAAGCGGTAGCCCTCGTCGGGACCAGGCGTCACCGACTCTTGGCGATATTTGGGATCCCGCCGGGTCTTGGTCAGTGCCCGCATGTGGAGACTGGTGGCGGTACGTCTGCGGAACGACATTTTTGGCAACTTTTTGCATCTATGTGGTGAGCATCCTGTCATCTTCATAACGTAGAGCAAGTTGAGAGGATAAAGATGCATGAGGCCCTAGGCCGACTATGACAGGCTGTAAGTCACATATGGCGTAGCAATCGTGTTAAGCTATCTGGATCGAGTTTTAACCGGTTGCAACTATGTATATTCATGCGGTTTAAGCACGTCGACAGACATCTACCCGGTTGGAAGAGAACACGACACAAACAGCGCGGAACCGAACGCGTCAGAGCACACCGCACACATGCATCGACGCCTGCGGAAGTGCACCTGGGCGGCGAGGTCCGCGGCCGACACGTGACCAGGTCTGACCGGTCCCGGGTCGGCGGTCCACTGGTCCGGACACTGTCAATATACCCTGCGCCGCGCTCGGCGGGTGCAGGGTATTGCGAGGAGGGCATTGCCGGCCGGACATGTGCAGGTGACATGGATATGTGCCGGACATGATTTACCGGCCGGGTACTCGCATCGCAGCCTGACATGTGCCGGTGCGCGGATCCCCAGGAGTCCAGGGGCACTGGAGCTCACCGAAGTCCAGGGGCACTGGAGCTCACCGAAGTCCAGGGGCACTGGAGCTCACCGAGAGCTACGGCAGGCAACACTTTGGTTCAGTCGTGCCACTCAACGGCATTGCGCTAAAACTTAATTTGTACCAACTGTTTACCAAGGTTGGTTTATGTTTGAAAAGAGCTGGGGAAGGGGAAGGGGACATTGCTGTTCTATTTTGAAATGAGTTTTGGCTATCAGAGTGCCCGTTACACAATAATATGGGGGAAATAGACGTAGTCCTCATGATCTAATCTAACTCGCATTAAGGACTCTTCTAGATCTTGGCGAAGACCTGCGATATAATGATGAATGGAATATCGTCTCGAAAAAAGTGCGTTGAAGAAACTAAGAATTTCTAGATTCCACAGCACATCTGGTCCGAAAATATGAAATACGTTTGGGACAGGATCTAAATAGACCATCCAACAGCGTTTAAGCAGAAATGTACGATCGAAGGTGAGTTATAGATCCTGGAGGATACCGACAAGTATTTCTGTTGATGAGAAGCTTTATTCCTTTAACAGTCATTTCACACCGGCCACAAACCAGTGCACTAAAGCTCACGACCGGTCAAACGTGAGCAGCTTGCAAAGAAACCTGGCCTTACCATTACTTCGATATTGACCTTGAGCTAGTCAAACACTCTAGGGAAGGGATTGTTAAAAAATACATTACTAAAAGGGCATGGAAAATACGCTGGCTTGGAACTAGATCACTGATCCCCTGCTAGGAGGTCACTGGATTTGGTGGACAACGTATGTTAAATCCTGCTCCATCCACAACTTTGGAGCCCCCTGGAAATTTGAAACGCCATTTGATGCAGCTATAAACATGACTCACAGTCGTCCTTCGGTTAACCGCTAAACAGAGTCGTGATCTTAGGCGATCCTTCAAAACATTTGTAACTTGGTCCAGCATTATGGAACATTTATCGTCTGGGACGCATCATTCACATCCAGGGATCTAGTTTTGGGGGACCAGCGCATGTTCTGCCATAACATTGCCTACTAAATCGTTATGCATACAAACGCATTTATTTCTGCAAGAGTGAGACCTTCCTTCTTTTAGGCCTTCCCAGCATTTCAGAATATCAATACCGGTATGGTAGCGTGGAAAAAGCGGCGCATAAATCCAGCTCCCCACCCTCATAAATCCATTCCTCAGTTCCCTCATAAGACCAGATCCACAACATTTCCGGTAACTTTCTTCAGTTGGTTTGTTGTTGTTTGTTGTTTGTTTATATGTGTCGTTCAATATGGTACTGCGGCAGCATTTCACTTCATTTCGAATGTGCTTAGACTCTCAGTCTGCAGACGGAGATCACTTCGGAGTTACACTACGGGGAAGTGGTAACAAGCCCTCAAAAGAGGCAGGCTTTCAGACCTTCGGCACGACCACAGTTGTTTAACGCCGCTGCAGACAGGCTGTCTCGATTTAATATCCCTTAACCAGGCGACCATTAGTCTGCCCCAGATGCAATCCCACTGAACAGCACTTTGCCCAGCGAGCCCACCAGTGCCCGGGAGACTGGGGACGGGAACCCCGGGGACCATCCCTTGCTCCGTCACTGGGTGGCTGCAGTGAGATCCCGGCTGGACGAAGAGTTCGGAGGCAAGGACTCTCACGCGAACAAGACTCAAGAGAGCCCAGAAGAGAACTCAAGAAGCCCAACTCAAGCTTTCAGGAGGGTGGGTCTGTCACGCGTGGCACGTTCGAAAGTGACGTGAATCGAGGCTGATGACATCATTTACATGGTACACACGCTCAACATAGCCAGTGGACGAGACTTCCTTAATCCATCTGAGCCCCGCCCTCAGTCCCTCTGAGCCCAGCCCCCAGTCCCTCTGAGCCCAGCCCCCAGTCCCTCTGAGCCCAGCCTTCAGTCCCCCTGAGTCCCGCCCCTAGTCCCTTTGAGCCCCGCCCTCAGTCCCTCTGGTCCCAGCCCCCAGTCCCTCTGTGGCCAGCCCTCGGTCCCTAGGCGCCCAGCCCTCGGTCCCTCTGAGCCCAGCCCTCAGTCCCTAGGCGCCCAGCCCTCGGTCCCCCTGAGCCCAGCCCCCTAGTCCCTCTGATCCCCGCCTTTAGTCCCCCTGAGCCCAGCCCTCAGTGAGCACACGTTCAGACCGCGACCTTCGCTCCGCCCCACCACCCCACCTTCACCAGCCGCCCATCAGCGCGCTCATCAGCAAATTGTCCGAGAACATGGGAGTGGGCCTGCTGTCGTATGGGAACCCCGACGACCACACCAGACCGTCGCACACGAGGTTAGTCAGCTCCTTCACCCGCATGCCGTTGCCATCGCAGAGGCTGCGGAGGGCGTCTCTGTCGCACCGCTTCAGGAGTTCCGCAGCGGAGATGTCCCGACCAGCGAGGCGCCGCACCATATTATCGGCGTCACCGCACGTGTACGGCCGACCAGCCACGAGCACGTGCGCCGCGGTGGCCACGTGCCGGCGTAGCGCCGCCAGGCCGGCGCCCAGCTCCGCCAGCTCGGCCTCGCCCCGGCCCGCGAGCAGGTCGATCTCCGCCCAGAAGTAGCAGGGCAGGCGGCGCGCCCGCAAGCCGTCCTCGACGAACTCGAGCGCGGCGAGCAGGGACCGGTGCGTGTCCTCCCAGGTCCACGCCTCGAGCGGCCGGCGCTCGGCTAGCCACAGCAGCGCCGTCTTCAGGTAGTAGCTCTTGACGGCCGCCGCCGGCCGTCCGACAACGGCCTTGCAGAACTTGAGCACGGTGAGGCAGGCGCGCTGTGGACCGCTCATCGCGCGCAGCACTTCGTACTCGTGGCGCGAGAACGACACGCGCCACTCGCGCGCCTCCGAGGCGCTGGCCGGACAGCCGACCGGCACCAAGAGGATGGGCGTGCGGCACAGCTGCGCCACCAGGGCGGCGCTGGGCTGGCCGGACGGCCGCCGGCGCGCGCCGTACTCGCCGCACGGCCACGCCGGGCACGCCACACACGCCACCAAGTCGATCGGCTTCGGATTGTGCATCGGGTCCTGCATGATGCTGGCGGCGAGCGAGGGCCCCGTGTGCTCGGGCGTCTCGGGGTTCAAGGCCGAGCTGAAGCCCTCCAGCAGGCGCACGGCCCGCTGCCGGCAAAACGACAGCCGGCCCGGGTGGCGGCACGTCGGCAGCCGGGGGTGCCACAGCAGCACGAACGCCGGCTGGCCGGTGCGCTCCAGACTGAGGGGCACGGCC